TATATTTGATAAAAATATTTAATATGAATTTTTAATAAAATTTAAAATTATTTTTAAAAAATTATAATTATCATCTTTGTATTTAAACATATTAAAAATGAATTTCTTATTTTAATTTTTTATCAAAATACTTGAAATTATATTCAAAAGTAATTTAAAATAAAAACAAAAATCATTCGGCCAAAGTATACTTTTGTCTTCTCTATTTTGGAGGGAGGGAGAATGGGGAGAAAGAAAAAAAAAAAATAAAAGGCAAGGCCATTGGATATGGCCGCCTTGTTGAAAACTTGTGAAACCCTAGATTGATGTATGGATCAGCATATGCTTCAATCTGAAGCGACACAACAAGGAAGTGGGTGATAATTTTATTACTTTTGATCCCTCACCAACAATTATAAACCCTTAAAAGGCAAAAAAATCCCATTAATTAGTGGGATTCTCATTCTCATCCCACCACCATAAGCACCCAACTAGCTCCTCTTTCATATTCCTTGCCATTATTATGGCTTTCTCAGAATTTCTCTTTTCTTTTCCCTCTCCTCCGCTTTTGCCAGACAAAATGCTTCGTGGGTCCCTTGCATTACCCCATCACTCCTTTCCCAACTATCTTGATCATCACCATCAGCGTCATCATCATCTCATTATTCAACTCCCTCTTCTTCTACTTGATGTGCTGCTCTACTACTTTATCTTGTTTCGTGGTTGGTTGCTCCATTCATGGCTAAACCAGGTAGGCTTTCTTGCTTTTTTTTTTTTTTTTATTTATTTTCACATACATGTTTCACTTATTATGTCTTTTTTTGGGTCCTTTATTTTATTTATTGTAAGTATAGAAATGGATGCTCGTAGAGCAAGGTTATGTTTGTTGGCTATTTTGTTTAGACCTCTGCAATAGTGGGGATATTGTCCTCTGTTTTTCAATCATACTTCAATGGGTCTTCTTCACCCAGAAGAAAGTGCATGAAAAGGTCTGACTTCAGTAAAAAATTGTTTCATTATCGTTATTGAAGACAAGTAGGAGGGAAAAATGGAGCTAAAATCTGCATCTTGAAGCTCTTAGAAATAGAAGTTGAAAGAAAATAATCTTTACAAAAAATTGCAGGTGAGACTTTTGTTTTTAAGAAAATTGTTTTTTGCTTTAGATTTCTGTCGTTTAACAACAGCTTTAAATACTATACTAGTTTTATGTTTTGTTGGTCTATGATAGCCGCTAGACATGTTATACTTGGGTGTTACTCTTGACTTTTTGTTTATGTTATGTATTGGAGTATGTTTGGGACAAATTTAGAAATTTTATTGAACTTATTTGTAAATTCGCACTTTGTTCACCAAGAACATGATGTGAATCTTATTAGAATTATAGAAAAAGTTATCGTATAGAATTTCACGTTGAATTGAAAAATGCATTCTCAATTCTATCAAAATTAATAGAACTTGAAATGTATTCTTTCAATTCCATATGGAATTCCATACGTTGTACTTTTTATATCATGTTAGGAAGAAGTTTCACTATTTTCTAGTTAAAATAGGTACAAATTATAAATAAATTTTACAAAAGTTCTAAATTTGTTCCAACTTAGTCTTAGTTTTTCTTCTCAAAGAAAAAAACTTGCTATATAATATATGTGGATTGCATTAACCCATTTTCTGAAATAGTAAATTAAAATAAAGTATGAAAAAAATTGTGTTGCTGAACAAAAAAAACATATGATAATAGTCTTGGAAAGATATATGCAAAATTGAGTTTTATAAAATTTTTTTGTAAACTTATTTAAAAAAATAACTTGTATTTTGTAAAGGTTGAGTTGGTAATTAATATGAATAGTATTAAATTGATTCCAATGTTTTTTATTACTCCCACAGGATATAACCATTTCTTTTTCTTTTAGAAATAAAGAAGTATGGCATATTACACAAGTATCAAATGGATACAAAAAGTATTTATATGTCAATAAGGAAGTCAATGAGATTCCCAAAGTCCTCCATTCTATAAAAGGAACGACTCACTAACCAAAAAATCCATGGTCTAGAACCATCTATCTCTAACTCTATCAAAATCATCTTCTAACCCCTTAAAAGTTCTCATGTTTATCTCTTTCCACACCATTCAAAAGATAGCTAGGAGGATGTGTTCATGGCAGGTATTCTGCATTTAATTGATGAACAAAGATGTAACAAGTGAGTTTTCGACTTCTCATTTGTCGAGTATAGAATTAGAATCAATTAATTTGGGTCTACTCCTCGTAAAATATCCTCGTAAGCCCCCTTGCTAGATGAATGAAGGAGAAGACCCTTGCCTACAAGGTAATTAGTGCCTGTTAAAGAATGTACAATATATATAAATAGGGTTAAAATAGGTTTAAAAATATGAAAGTAAATATACCCTTTAGTAATTAATTGTAACTTTTCTTTTCTTATCCTGGAAACTTGTATAAATAGGGATGTATTATTCCATGAGAATATAACACAATTATTCTTTAAATTGTTTCAAAGCCCTAGGTTAAGAAATCTAAACCTTTTTACAAACCTTATTCGACCTTCATTGCTGAAATAGAAAAAAACCTAAAGAGGGATGGAGAGCGAGCCTTCGTAACTGGCCACCACAGCAGCCACCACCACTGACCTTCATAGCCGGACAAACAGCCAGCCTACTGCAAGTCAGGTGTGCGACTCATGATCATCAGCCATGCAAACTTGTGCAACTATCCCTACTACGTTAGCTTCAAATAGGCGCTCCAGCAAGTCCAGCCTCCTTTGGCCTTCATAGCTGGCCAGCCCTCCAATTGCTTTTCTCACCTAGCCGAGTTGCAGCCCTCCAACCGCGTCTGCCTCGACAGCCCCTCCACTAGAACCACACTCCAAAATGATCCTACTGTGCTCTGTCCACCTGCACAGTCGCTGAGTTATCCCCTGAACAACCACGCCTTCATCTCAACCAGCTTCTCACTAACCACAATTTTGTTCAGCCGATACACTATAATTATTTTTTTTTTTTGAAATATCAGACGAGAAATATTATTCACAAAGGTACCAATGGGGTACCGCCCATGTACAAAGTATATATTACAATTCTATTAAGTGGTCCATGACCCACCCAAAATCATCTTAATATTTGATGTCATGACTTAACAAAATAGAACCAAAAGTATAGATTCACCTATTTTTAATTTTTGTAATGTTAGTCTCTATGCTCTTAAAAGTTTTTGTGTTTCTTTTCTTCTACACAACCCAAAAAATAGTTAGTGGAATGAGGAACAAATATTTTTTTGTTCTTACAATACTCAGTCCATGCCCACAACTCCTTACTCACATTTTCAGCCATAACTCAACATAATCCCAGCATCCCCGAAACAATGTACCAAATGCTGTAGGTCGTCGGGCAACATAGAAGTAGATGGTTGCAGGTCTCCTCGTCGGATTTGCACATGTAGCATCTATTAACCATGATGTTACCTCTCATTTTCAGGATATCAATAGTCAAAATACATTCACTAGCGGCTTTCCACGTAAAAGGAGGAATCCCACTTTTCCAGATCTGTTTAAAGAGAGCTGATCTGATAGTATTTCCTGCATTTGTGTCAAGAAGATTGTACATCGATTTCAGAGAAAAACCATTTTTCTCGTCCAGCTTCAATACTCTCCTATCCCTAGCATCTTTCACCTTCATACTGTCCAAAGCCATCAGCAAATTGCAATAATCATTAATTTCCCAATCCTGCAGATTCCTTGTATTTTTAATAACTTTTATCTCAAAAAAAACTATTTTTCATAATAATTTGACCTTAGTTGCCCTAAAAGACTTTGAATTATATAGGAAGTTACGTCCCAAATTACTGACACAAATTCCCACATGGGAAATTCTACACAAGCTAATGAAGAATTCTAGCAAATCTAGGCTCCCTATCATTTCAATGTCGAGAATTATTTGAATTAATCACAGCTGATTCAGACCATTCTAAAGGGAAAAGGAAGAATCAATCACATTTTAGGCACCAGACTAAAACTGGAAGACTCAAATTTTGATGCATGGGATGAAGAGATCTCAATGATAATGACTTGGCTTTGGATTTCAATGACATCAGAGAAGTAATACTTATTTTTACCCACTGCGAAAGAAATGTGGGATTCAATTAGTGAAACTTCCACTAAGGTAAAAAATGCAACCCTAATCTTGATCTGACTGTAAAATTTGGTTAGGAAAACAGAAAAATAAATCGATTATAGAGTATGCTAACCTACTAAAAAACTTGTGGCTGTAACTTGATCGATATTACTGCTTCACTATGGAAAGCAACGAAGATGCTGCTATCCTGAAAAAGATAGTGGAGAAAGACAGAGCATATCGGTTCATGGCAGGATTCAATGAAGAATATGATTAGATAAGAATTTAAGTTCTGGGAAAAGAAGAGCCATCATCTCCAAATGAGATAATATCATTGATTAGTACCGAAAAAAGTAGAAGAGTTATGCTAGAGTCCCGTACTAGTAAAAATTCTGAGCAATAGTAGAAGGGATATGTGAGTTATTCTGGTTGAAAAAGCTCATGGAAGATCTACGAGTCAAGTAGGATGACCTAATACACCTTAACTGTAACAACAAATCAGAAATAATTATTATTTGCAATCTTGTATAACAAGTAGGAAAGTACGCATTGAAGTTGATAGAGATTTTATTAAGGAGAAGTTAGAAAGTGACTTAAATATGTACACCTTATGTGCCTACCAAGTTACAGCTTGCAGATGTGTTGACCAAAAACTTGAATAATCCAATACTTCAGACCATTATTTCCAAGCTAGAGATGAATAACATCTATTCCTCAACTTCAGAGAGGTGTTAAAGAATGTACAGCATGTATAAATAGGTGAATTAGATTAAAAGGTATTAAAGTAAAATACACTCTTTTGTAACTAATTAGATCTTTTTTTTTCTTATCCCCCGAGAACTTATATATA